CCGGCGGACGAGTCCCCAATAGGACGAAATGCGCATTCTGGATTCCACTCCTAGCCGCTATCCACCAATCAGCTGACCACTACTCCTAGGTCTTCCAATGGTCTTCTAACTGATGTCATCTCGTAATTAAACCCGTAACCAATCAAATCTCTGCAAACTAACACTTGATAAAAAGAATAACAGCCTATATTTGAAAAACGAAGGGATGCTATATCGTTAAAAAGATGATTGAGAAGCGGTTTTCACAGACAAATGATGAACGCACTGAGGAAACACAGGATATCCAGGTCTTAAATAAAGATATTCTTCAAATAAGAAATAAGACATTCGAATATTGATTCGAAGGATATCAAGAAATATGAAGGATAGAAGTTACAATGAATCAAATGAGTTCAGAAGTGTAGAAGTAATTCAAGGACTTCGTATGGGCACAAAGATCAGGCTTGAATACGTGACTGCCAACAACTTAAAATTGAACACATGGTGAAACGGCAGAAGACGAAAGACTTGGTAGAGGAATGTTTATTTACCATTTGATATCTCTATATAGCCAAATTATGTACACCTTATCTTCAACGCACCATTTGTTGTACTACTCCTGGCATTCCTTAACATTGTGTTTCTTTGTGTTCCTTTCACGTCTCCCATGTATCTCCACAACGCTGTATCATTTGCTTTCTCTAACATCAGATCTATTTCCCTGCTATTTGATGTTTTCATGCCAATAAACATCTCTTTATATATATATACTACTGATAAATCTTATCAGTAACACACGCCACAATGGGAATGCTGCAATTCAATATTAACTACTCACCCTGACATTGTAGACAATACTGAAAGAACATTCAGATGGGACATTGTGGTCAAAGTTCACCATATGATCAACAGTCAAGCTAGGGATTGACTTGAACTATTCTCTCGATAAGCATGCAAAGTAGTACACAAAGACAGAGGACATGCTCTGTGCAGCCTACACGACAATCTCCTCAGATGCAGATGAACACAGAGAAATGAAAGGCCTACTTTTTGACATGTAATGAATGCAAAACTAACTAACAGAAAAAAAAGTTAACATTCTTTTTGTGAGGTATCTTTAGATGAAGGATAAGTGTGTTGACTGACTTTACGCCTACTAACTTGATGCAAATCAATAAAGTGAATTACTGAGTGATTGTGTTGTACAGTGACTCAGAAAATAAACTTCAAAATATACTCAACTGAGCACTATAAATAATAGTTTACCTGACCTACAGATTTGCATCGTTCAAGTGTGAAGTATTGTTGCAAGATTGACAGGTGTGCCCTCAATCATTCTCCTAGTTCAACCATTATTTAATCGAAAAGTCCATGCGTCTAGGTATTAGTGAGTGCTAAGGATGTGCAGAATGGAATTCCTATATTGAAAACCAAAGGGATAGGCTTAATAAATGAGCAAGATATTATACCCATGATCTTTGTATTGGTGAATGCCAGTGAGAATGACCTGAAAATTAGTCATAAACACCACATTATCTGCAAGGGTGTCTTTTGGAAAACAAAAAAAGCAAACCAACAAGAAAATAGCTTCTATAAACAAACTGGTACTGCCAAGTGTGGCTACTACGCGTTCATGATCCCTATTAAGTAAGTCCTACATAGTGCCTCCAGGCGGTATGGGGTGTTTCTCACAAGAGTGAAAAGAAGAGCGCGAATGTCCGACGCCTACAACTGCACGAGTGAACATGAAGGACTACTTAGAGGAGCTGGAAAACCCTAATTCCAACCAAAGATATGGTGTACATGGACTCCAGAATCCGAAAGGATATGAATATACCTTGGTCATCTGGAACCATGGGGACGTACCTCCTAACTCTGCTCCACAGGTTTGTGGATCAGAATTCAAGTTGAAGCCTCAAAAGTGACACCCCTTAAGACAATCACCTGCTTCGGTTTGGGCGTCTGGATAGAACTCGCACAAACTATGTCATTTTGTGTGGCGCACTTTTTGGTCCCCTTAAGGTACCAAGTTTCTGCTTCAATAATAATAATAAAACAGGAAAATGAACAAGAGAATCATTTTCCAGACAGTGTTTTTTTGTTCCTTTACGTTTCAAGCGGAACATACGGCCTCAACCTAGAGCTTTGAAGTTCCGGCAGCAGTGATGTTAATTTTTACAGAGTGAAGTTGCCTTCCTCACACCCAACCTTCCCTCTTTGCCAGCCCCACTACCGGCTTAGGGAGGTTTAGGACTGCGTCGGCCGGGAATCGAACCCCTGAACACATGAGTGGTTGGGGAGCGTTTCACCACTGAACCACCGACGCACAAGTACTAACCAGACCCAATGTTGCCTAACTTCGGAGATCGAACGAGAACCGGTGTTTTCAACGTAGTATGGTCACCGACTTTTCAGACAGTAGACAGATCATTATCTCAATCAGCAGAGTGCCACTTAAAGAAAGAACTGCAGTAATTCAAAAAGCCACTTCAATCAAATAAAAACACTATTACATGGGATCATTAATTTGATCTATACTGGAGCACCTTTAGGGCAACCAGTTAGCTAGCCACTAAATGTCATGAAATAATGCTCCATATCTCAACCCACTGTACATACCACAATCACAACTCTGGAATACCTTAACATCTCAGGGGCCTAGACTGAAAGTATATTAATTATTAGGAGGGAATGAGAAATAAGCCATGTGACGCTGATTTAAGTTACACTAAATAAAATAGAAATTAGCGATAAGAAATCAGTATTCAATACTTGTTCTTAATGACAACTGTCAGTTAATGTTTTATAAACACTGAAAAACCCCTAATAATATAAAGCAATGTGAATGCAACTACTAGACCGAGCATATTACTATTATTTTAACCGTTGAAGAGAACGAGGAAAGAACTGACTTTTACTACTATTACTTTTGTAATTATTCCCTTAGGTTCCAAGTGAACCATAGGGCTTCAACAGCACGCCTACATTTCACTCTGTTCTCTGAAGTATTGTCCATAATCTCTCATCTCCTCCATGTCACCCTCGGACTCGCGCCCAACTCGCCTTTACCCACACCAATTCCACTCGAGTGGTGGCCTGGCATGTGATGTCACTCCACGGTCTTCTCAGAGTATAACCGATTCCTCTTCATTTTCTTCGGAATATATACTGGAAGACAGGTTCTTGATTGGTTCCTTCCACTCCAGAGTTCCTTGTGGCTACTCCCTTCTGGCCGGCAGTCTGATCTTCAGTATGGAGACAGCGAAGGCAGCTGTTGATAAGAGATAGCAGAAGCCTGTTCAAAATGCTTTTGGCGCCGCATGTTTCCGAACTATATAGAAGAACTGACTGACTTAACATTTGTGCCAAAAATCCGAAACTTGTTCTCTATACTGGCTGAGTGGAAAAGATTTCCAAACTGGTTTCAGGATGATGGAGGCGCATATCTTGCCTTTCCGATTCTGGATGTATTTGAAATTTTCATCCGTGCTGACTGCCTGTAGGTAGTTGAAGCGATACTTTCTAGTGGATAAGTGAAAGAAGTGATCTTGTCCAAATTTCTACCGCTGATAGTAATTGTTGTTTGTTTTTGTTGGTTGGTTATCATCATCCCCTTCGTCTTCCCTATGTTTACTTGAATTCCTGTCTACAAAGACTCTGTTTGTCTGTCTGGATTCAACATAGCACCGAAGTGCAGCAGTTCGAGTTGCCACGTTCCAAATAGCACACAAAGGTAGACAAGAGATGAGTGAAGAGAATCAATAGAGTTTTGACAAGTATAACAGTGAAACAGAATGAGTAATGGTAGAAAGGAATATGAAAGATTACACAAGAGACTGAATACATCTGCGCAATTGACAACGATTTTGAGCCATGTTACATATTGTCTCCAGCCATTGGTTCTTACAGTCCCGAGGGACCCAATCCGGAAGTCTGCATCTCCCTACCTGACTCAGTTTAACTGTCACGGATTTCGTGGATTGATGCCATGTTTTTGTTTGGCCACCACTTACTTTCTTCAACCTGCACCTATATCAGCTAGTAATGCCCGTCCGTCGGGGGAGGCTATGGTTAGGTATGCACATCACGTGATCTAACCATCTCAATCTATGTAACTTCACAGCCTCTTCGATTGATTTTCCCTCTTTGCCCAACACTCTACGCCTAACGTCAACATTACTTACCTTAGTACGCCATCTAACGTGAGAAAGATATCGTAGACATCTATGATCAATAACAGTCGACTTTTTCATGTCTTCAACTCGTATTGGCCATGTTCCAGAGCCATAGAGAAGGACGGAGCGAACTGCTGAGCAGTACACACGTCCCTTAGTTGATAGCCGGATGTCACGCCTACGCCAGAGATGGTGTAAGTTAGCGAAAGCAGCCCGAGTTTTTTGGATCCATGCTGAGATTTCGTCACCAATCAATCCGTTGGTGCTGATACAACTTCCCAAATAGGTGAAGTGGTCAACATGTTCTATCACTTCACTCCCTATCACTAAGCTATGAGTTGACGTAGTCCAGTCCTGTAGCAGCATCTCACATTTTACAAGGGCGAATCGCATGCCAAGCATACGAAGATTGGTGCTCAAGGTGTTCAGAAGACTCTGCATTTTGTCAGCATCCTCGCCTTACAGGACTATGTCGTCTGCATATTCTAAGTCCATAAGACTATTCCCTGGTAACAAGTCGATTCCTAAGTCGTTAAGTTCAGTTAAGGATACTTCCATTAGCATATCTATGATGAAGTTAAACAAAAATGGGGAAAGTGGACATCCCTGACGGACACCACTGGTTGTTATCAATTCAGATGACAATTACCCATAAGCCCTTACACGTCTACGTGAGTTTGAGTAGAGTGCCTTGATTAGTGCAATTCTACACAGACTGCCTCTAGACACTGATCGTCTGCCAACTCCGGATCTTCTAGAGTCTTCTATAAAACCGCATTCAATAAGGGAATTAGGAAACAAGTTTTCTAACTAACGGAAGACAATAATGAAAACATTTTAAATATATTATAGTTAAGTGATATTTGCTTGACAATTGTCTCAAGAAATGGAGTATATATATATACTGTGTGGAAAATAGACCAATCCTCGAAATTAATAAAGTGCTTTTTTTATGTACAAATAATTTTGAGTGAAAAATCAATATTCCTTGAAATGACTAAATGCATAAAGAGCTGCTCGACCATCACATTGTCCAACGCACATAAATCGACCACCAGGACTAAATCCAACCGATGTCGGTTTCTTTAAAGCACCAACTCGAACAGGGAAGTTTTCAAAAATAAGACCTTCGTTGACATGATACTACAAAACAAAAAATATGTACATGAAAATCAAAAACGAAATGACAATATTTGGCGATTACTTTTTTTCCATTTCTGACTACAGATTAATGATCAGTTAGAGAATCATTGAAAACCAGCAAGGAGTACTGAACAGCTGTTTTGCACTAGTCTGGGACTCATCAGCGATGCGCACCCACAGCCATAGTTCGAGCCAATAACCTTCTGATTACAAGTCAAGCTTGTGGACCATTCAGGCACTGGGATTCGACTTAACAGTCCACGAATTCTAAATTCTACCAACTCGTGTCTTTATCGCAACCACCAGCCAATGTCATTGGATTGCATGCGTCGATGTAACTTCACAACCTCGTCAATTGATTTCCCCTCCTTACCTAGCACTCACCTCAATATTGCTCACCCTATTGTTTCAACAGAAGGTAAGACACGGGAGCCAAGGTATATTTTCCATTAATCAAACCGCTGTTTATATATCTACAGCTTATATCAGTTAACCAATCACCGAGAGAGTGATTTCGCTTTACATCAAGTAACATGAAATAGAATGTTCAAATATACATAGTATTCTTTTGATAATGCAGTATATAACTGTGGGAAATGTATTCTGTATAACATCAAATCGAATGTTCAAATACATACATTGCAAACAGTATTGAACTGTGGGAATATGTGAGTATAACATTCCGTTCACACACATTGTCTGTAGCACACCACCACACTATTATACCACTTCATGGACTGGTGCCATGTTTTGGTTTCGACCGCCGCTGGCTCTTTTCTAGCCTGACCTTATGTCTGCTAACATTGCCCGTCGAGGAAGGCGATGGCTAGGCATGCATGTGTAACGCATGTCCTAACCATATTAATATACGTAACTTCACAGCCTCGTCTATTGATTTCCCCTCTTTACCTAGTACTCGACGCCTAACTTCAATATTGCTCACCCTATTTTACCACTTCACACGGGAGATAGAAGGCAGGCACCTATGATCAAAGACGGATAGCTTTTTCATGTCCTCCACTCTCAATGGCCAGGTCTCACAGCCATAAAGGAGGACGGAGTGGACTGCTGAGCAGTACACACGCCCTTTGGTCGATTGCCAGCCGGATATCACGTCTACGCCAGAGACGGTGTAAACTGGCATATGCGAAACGAGTCTCCTGTATCCGTGCTGAGATTTCGTCAGCGACCAACCCGCTGGTACTGGCTGATGTAACTTGCTAAATAAGTGAAGTGGTCGACGCGCTCTACCACTTCACTTCCTGTCTTTAATCAAGGAATCAATGCAGTCCAGTCCTGTAACATCATTTTACAGTTGACAAGGGGAAGAGAATCGCATGGTAGACAGTCACAGATTGCAGCTCAAGGTGTTCGGAAGAGTCTGCATCTTGCCAGCGTCTTCACCTAGGAGGACTATATCATCTGCATACTCTAAGTCAACGAGATTATTTCCTGGTAACAAGTCAATCTCTGAGCAGATGAAGTCAGTTAGGGTTAAGTCCATTAGTACAGATAATCTACAATTAAAGAAACTATAAGTACCGTCATCAACACTTGCTAACAGTAAGGTTGTTGTGAGCGACTTGCGCATCAAATGTTATTACATAAAAATAATATTAATCCTCAGCTTCTATCGATTTTACATACAGTTAATATTGTTAGTTATACATACACATTACTATATATATATATATATATATATATATATATATCAAAATAATCATGCTGATGAACTACATAGAACCTACCAATCGAATAGCGTCTGGACGTTGTGATGAAGCAAGACAAAGCATTTCATTTGATGGATGGAAACATAAAGAATCCACTCCAGTGACTAGATTGTCTATCGCCTTTTCAGGCTCTGGATTATGTGTATTCATTGTAGAATTCCATTTGTAGACATTGACATAACCACTGTCTGATCTATTGAATTGAATTATATTATTATTAAGAAAAGCATATTGAATATATACGGGAATCAGGAAAACTGTGATCCACATAAAAACGTATAAAGGCAATTGAAATAATCAAGTTATGCTTGCAATAAGAAATTCAAGATGATTTTGATTACTCAACTCAAAAGTGAAACCTCAAAATTCTGTTCTAACATCAAATCTGAATTTAGTTTACGTTGTGGTATGGACAAATTTTCTCATTGGACAATTTTTGTACCTTTGTTTAATCACGGGCCAGTAGCCAACCAATCAGAACATTTTAGAGTCCGCTAACCTAACCTACTTTCAATGAGGTTAAAAATGTATTAATACTATGCGTTTTTCCTTAATAAAACAGTCTGTTACCAGTTTTCTTATCTTCTGCTGTTATATAGACTCTCGTCAATACATAATTACATATGACAACGGGTGTTGCAACTATCTACTATCTCCTTATAATGTAGTCTGATTAAACGTAAAATGAGAAGACCAAGCAAAGTAGCTTACGTGCTATTGTTGTAAAAACAGGATTACTCATTTTCAGGAAAATTGATCAAAATATCTTTAGTAATGGAAGTGAAATCAACGCCGGGTTAGAGGCTGTATACCGAAGACTAATCAGTAAAACTCTGAGTTAGTTGTCACGAGGCTGCTTGTTCAAATTCTGTAGCAAATTAAGCCTTCACTTCACTTTCAATCCTCATCTGTAACGGTATACCCATGACAACTAAATAAACTTTACGAATAATTTAGAACAACACATTTAAGCAAACAATATTGTGGTTCCAATTAGATCTCATCAGGCTTAACTATAATATACCTACATACATTTACAAATAAAAATTCAAATATAAACCAATCATAGTGTTTTGTCTGTAGGATAATACGATTGTGAATATTAATTGTGCAATTAGTCATAATAGTAATAAAAAAAATCGTCTTATCAATAATAAGGATGAAAAAGTGAGGCAATCTGTGATAATACGAATAAGGAAAAAACAGTATGATTAAACAAACAACTGTTCAAGTGGAAGTAGTCGATAAAGGCTAGTAAAAACAAATGAACCGATTAAGTAATGTTAGATTGTAAGGGAAGGAAATGAAACACGTTTATAATGAAGATGTGATAAGATTAAGGGATGATACTAGAGGGGTTGAAAATATAAACAAAGGGTGGTGTAGAAGTCATTAGTTGGTTATGTCTTAATAGGCCAAAGGAGGGATAATGGCTGTACGAAGTTCTTTCGAATGCATAGTTTAGGTTTAATAGTTCGAATGCCTATCGCCTCAGCTGTGTGCAGTAAACGAATACGAAGTCTATTGGAAAGATTCGGTGGGATACGATGAATCACTTTGAAGGCTCTCGTTTTCTCGATTACATGACCACTATCAATTAAGTGTGACAAAATTGAGCTACGAATTGTTTTTGTCTGTCCTTTGCCAAACCACGATGGGAGATGTTCACTAACACGTTGGCTAAGCTGTCTAGTAGTACGCCCAATATAACTGTCACCGCAGGTGCAGTTGAATTGATAAATGCACATAGATGTGGCAAAACTATCAAGCTTATCCTTCGTTTGCGTCCCAATCATTCGTCGGCTAGAGAATGACAAACATAGGTGTGCTGCATAAAATGTTCTTCGTATACTCCTTGAAAGTCTTTGGAATAGAATCTCACTTGATAAGTCACCATTAAATTGTAACTTAATAAATAGAGGTTTCTTATGTGCAGTCAGAGTCTCCGGTTTTTTCTCCGATGTTTTCATATGTTTCTTTATGAAACTACTCGGATAGCCCATCTCCATCAAGGAATCGTGAATATATTCAAATTCCTTTTGTAAGAGGTCATCCGTACATATCTTTCTTGCTCTGCTCGCAAGACATTTTACAACATTCCTTTTATATTTAATGGGCACGTAACTAAGGAAGTGTGTGTATTGCCCTGTGAATGTGCTTTTTCTATACACGCTTCTCCCAAGTGACCCATCTTCTCTCCTACTTAGCAAGACATCCAGGAAATGTAGTTTATTCTCCTGCTCCTCTTCACAAGTAAAGGTAAGCGAAGGGTGGATGTTGTTGAATTTCAGCAACAATTCGTCTATGTTAACATTCCCATCAGCTAAGATAAATGTATCATCGACATATCGGTAATACATATCAAACTCCTTGATGATGTCCTTCAATTTCCCGTTTTCAAGTTTTGCGAGAAAGAAGTCAGCTAATATTGGGCCTAATGGTGAACCCATAGCTATTCCATCTACTTGTCGATAGTATGAATTATTGAAGACAAAGTGAACATTCATTGTGCATTTAAGAAGTAATTCTTTGAGGCTACACAAGGGGATTCCTAAGTCTAATTGCCTTTCGGCGATTTCTTGACAAATATAATCTACTGTTTCCATAAGCGGTACATTAGTGAATAGTGATGATACATCCATGGATAACATGCGTTTATACCTCACATTAGTCTCGGATATTTTAGAAATAAAGTCGAAGACATCACTAATTCTATGTTGCATGATTTCTCTGTGCAAAGGACCCAGAATCTTCACTAACCACTTCGCTGTTCCGTGAAATGGAGAGTTATACATATCTAAAACAGGGCGAAGAGGAAGACCCGGTTTGTGCACTTTTGGTAGACCGTAAAGACGTGGAGTATTGGTACCCGTTGGTTTCATGGACTCATACGTGGTTGATGATAATACTCCTATTTGGTTCAGTTTTTTGAGGGAGTCGGTCATTAGTTTCTCCGCTCTTACATTGAGGTCTTTGGAAACACCAAGAGATTGGAATTTAGTTTGATCACTCAAAATACCTTCCATTTTCTCAACATAATCGCTTTTGTCCAGTAAAACTATACCGTCACCTTTATCCGGCTTGCTAATAATTAAGCTTTCATTGCTTCTAAGTTCTCTTAGAGCTTCTCTGTGTTGTTTAGATAACAGACTATTTACTGAATGTCTATTATTCTTGTATTGTTGGCAGCTGTCAACTAGCGTCGTTTTGAACCTAGTTAGTTCATCGTCCGATGATGGGGTAAGATCTGACGTTTGGGAATACAAATTTTCAAACTGTATATCCGTGTCTAATTGGTCAACTTTAGGAGCATAATCACTAAATTTGGGACCTAGGGATAACACCTCCAATTGAAACTTATTAAGCACGACACTGGAAAAATTGTGAACATACCGGCCCGGAACTGACGGAAATTTCCTTTCAAGCTTTTGGCTTTCGAGAGATTTCACAAAACTTATTCTTTTTTATTACTTCTGTTTACTGTTACGTTATTAACATATTCAATGAACATCAATTGTAATTCCTGAGGTAAATCAATTTTCAGTTGATGATTTCCGTCAGTTCCGGGCCGGTATGTTCACAATTTTTCCAGTGTCGTGCTTAATAAGTGTCAATTGAAGGTGTTATCCCTAGGTCCCAAATTTAGTGATTATGCTCCTAAAGTTGACCAATTAGACACGGATATACAGTTTGAAAATTTGTATTCCCAAACGTCAGATCTTACCCCATCATCGGACGATGAACTAACTAGGTTCAAAACGACGCTAGTTGACAGCTGCCAACAATACAAGAATAATAGACATTCAGTAAATAGTCTGTTATCTAAACAACACAGAGAAGCCCTAAGAGAACTTAGAAGCAACGAAAGCTTAATTATTAGCAAGCCGGATAAAGGTGACGGTATAGTTTTACTGGACAAAAGCGATTATGTTGAGAAAATGGAAGGTATTTTGAGTGATCAAACTAAATTCCAATCTCTTGGTGTTTCCAAAGACCTCAATGTAAGAGCGGAGAAACTAATGACCGACTCCCTCAAAAAACTGAACCAAATAGGAGTATTATCATCAACCACGTATGAGTCCATGAAACCAACGGGTACCAATACTCCACGTCTTTACGGTCTACCAAAAGTACACAAACCGGGTCTTCCTCTTCGCCCTGTTTTAGATATGTATAACTCTCCATTTCACGGAACAGCGAAGTGGTTAGTGAAGATTCTGGGTCCTTTGCACAGAGAAATCATGCAACATAGAATTAGTGATGTCTTCGACTTTATTTCTAAAATATCCGAGACTAATGTGAGGTATAAACGCATGTTATCCATGGATGTATCATCACTATTCACTAATGTACCGCTTATGGAAACAGTAGATTATATTTGTCAAGAAATCGCCGAAAGGCAATTAGACTTAGGAATCCCCTTGTGTAGCCTCAAAGAATTACTTCTTAAATGCACAATGAATGTTCACTTTGTCTTCAATAATTCATACTATCGACAAGTAGATGGAATAGCTATGGGTTCACCATTAGGCCCAATATTAGCTGACTTCTTTCTCGCAAAACTTGAAAACGGGAAATTGAAGGACATCATCAAGGAGTTTGATATGTATTACCGATATGTCGATGATACATTTATCTTAGCTGATGGGAATGTTAACATAGACGAATTGTTGCTGAAATTCAACAACATCCACCCTTCGCTTACCTTTACTTGTGAAGAGGAGCGGGAGAATAAACTACATTTCCTGGATGTCTTGCTAAGTAGGAGAGAAGATGGGTCACTTGGGAGAAGCGTGTATAGAAAAAGCACATTCACAGGGCAATACACACACTTCCTTAGTTACGTGCCCATTAAATATAAAAGGAATGTTGTAAAATGTCTTGCGAGCAGAGCAAGAAAGATATGTACGGATGACCTCTTACAAAAGAAATTTGAATATATTCACGATTCCTTGATGGAGATGGGCTATCCGAGTAGTTTCATAAAGAAACATATGAAAACATCGGAGAAAAACCCGGAGACTCTGACTGCACGTAAGAAACCTCTATTTATTAAGTTACAATTTAATGGTGACTTATCAAGTGAGATTCTATTCCAAAGACTTTCAAGGAGTATACGAAGAACATTTTATGCAGCACACCTGTGTTTGTCATTCTCTAGCCGACGAATGATTGGGACGCAAACGAAGGATAAGCTTGATAGTTTTGCCACATCTATGTGCATTTATCAATTCAACTGCACATGCGGTGACAGTTATATGGGGCGTACTACTAGACAGCTTAGCCAACGTGTTAGTGAACATCTCCCATCGTGGTCTGGCAAAGGACACACAAAAACAATTCGTAGCTCAATTTTGTCACACTTAATTGATAGTGGTCATGTAATCGAGAAAACGAGAGCCTTCAAAGTGATTCATCGTATCCCACCGAATCTTTCCAATAGACTTCGTATTCGTTTACTGCACACAGCTGAGGCGATAGGCATTCGAACTATTAAACCTAAACTATGCATTCGAAAGAACTTCGTACAGCCATTATCCCTCCTTTGGCCTATTAAGACATAACCAACTAATGACTTCTACACCACCCTTTGTTTATATTTTCAACCCCTTAGAAATCATCCCTTAATCTTATCACATCTTCATTATAAACGTGTTTCATTTCCTTCCCTTACAATCTAACATTACTTAATCGGTTCATTTGTTTTTACTAGCCTTTATCGACTACTTCCACTTGAACCGTTGTTTGTTTAATCATACTGTTTTTTCATTATTCGTGTTATCACAGATTGCCTCAATTTTCCGTCCTTATTACTGATAAGACCATTATTATTACTATTATTATTACTATTATGACTTATTGCACAATTCATATTCACCATCGTATTATCCTATAGACAAAACACGATGATTGGTTTATATTTGAATTTTTATTTGTAAACTTATTTAGTTATAGTATACTTAAGCCTGATGAGATCTAATTGAAACCACAATGTTGTTCGCTTAAATGAGTTGTTCTAAATTTTATTATGTCTGATTTCCTTCGATATCGCACTACTTAACTTGTTAAAAGCTAGAAGAATATCTTTGGCTGGCTAGTATAATGAATTTTCTACGAAATCATACCAGGGGTACAAACAACACCTAGACATGCAGACGTAAATATATATTCAAAAAGTTATTTACTCGGTTGTATAAAAAGATATGTGTGCGTCGACGGTTCACATGTGTTCACACTTTGATTCCTTGCCAACGAACTACTAGAATCAAACCTGAGAAGAGTTATGGTTGCTTCGCGGGAAACTAGCAGCCCTAACACGTAAAAACAGCATAAACCCTACAAAAACTTCAAAGCTTGTGAAGCCCTATTCTCCACTCGAGAAGTAAAGGGGTGGAGAATAAATAAATAAATGGAAAGATATGATTAACGTTTTTTAATTGCCTTTTATATCTATAGCATAAGTCTCAAGTTTTATTAGAGAATATTCCATTTACGAAAGTTGAATATCATATATATGGTTGAGGTGAAAACTTCAACACACTGCCAACCAGTTTTATTTTACAATCTAACATAGCTAATTCTCCTTGCTCATTTTCGGTTTCAAATGTGAATTTTATTCCCTCCACTAGTGAGTTTATGTGTGTCAAGAAGCTAGAGATATGTTCTGTTTAACATTAACACTGTCAACCAGCTGATTCTAACATTCCCAAATGCGCTAACGCCAACTGCCAAATTTTAGTCCTTAATAATACGGATTATTATCATTTTATTATTATTCCCTTGGGTTCCGAGTGGAACATAGAGCTTCAATAATACGTCTCCACTTTCCTCTATTTTTCTGCTGTCCTCTTTAGCTGGGTTCACGAATGCCCATACTCTCTTATATCTTCCTCGCACGATCTCTTTCATTTCACCCTCGAAATGAAGACACACTCGTCGCTTCCCAATGGAATTCTAATCGAGCAACGACTTGCATTGCGAACGATGGGTTTCGACCACCTCCTCAAAGTATGCCCGATCCATCTCCATTTTCCCCTACATATTTTTGAACGATCGGCTCTTGGTTGGCTCGTTCCCAGAGTTTCTTCTTGCTTATTCTTTCTGGCCAGCTAGCTATTTGACCTTCAGTATGGAGTCAACAAAGGCAGCTGTTGATAAAAGTCTGCAGGAGCCTGTTGGAAATCCTTCTCATGAAACGCAGTGCGAATTTCTCACCCGTATAGAAGAACTAACTGACTGACTTCACATTTGTGTTGAATATAATCCAAATCTTGTTCTCTATAGTGGCTGAGTTAGTGCAGAAGATTTCCAAATTGGTTTCAGCTTGATGAAGGCGTATACTGTCTTTCCAATTCTGGCTAGCTTTGACATCTTCATCCGTGCCACTGCCTGTGGTTGAAACCTTACTTCCTAGATAAGTGAAACCAGGAAGTAACCTCTATCAAATCTCTCCCTTTGGTGGTGGTTGGTGCTGGTTGTTGTTATTGTTTTTGGTGGTGGTTGGTTATTTTTATCATCTCCGTCTCCTCTATGTTCACCTGGAGTGCTGTCTTTGCTGCCTGTCAACCTCTTCAGCCAGTTTGTTGGTTTTCGCCTGCCTGCCTGCAAGTTTTCTATTTTGTATGACATCAAACACAAATCAACCACGCGCGAAATCCAGATCTTCTAGAGTCTTCTTATCGGTGGTCCAGCATATTCCTGTCTCCTCACTTTCAATACACAGTCTGATGCATAATCCAGTCCACCACAATTAAGAATATCACCGGTGATAATGGTCAGCCAACCTTGTCTTACTCCTGTATTCACTCCATAGGCTTCGCTGAGTTTACCGTTTGGGATCACTTGACACGTGGCATTATCATACACCTGTTGAATGAGGTTGATAAAGACGTGGGGCACGCCGTAATAATACAGATACATAGAGTCAAAAACAGAACTGCTCATATGCCATGATAATTAATTTTGTAATAAACTGAATAATAATCGGAAACACGATGCTTAAAAATCAACTATCAATTAAGTTCAACCTCTAGCACTTTTCATAACTGCCACACATCAAACTATGAAATATAACGTCTGTATACAGAATCTGAGAAAGCGCATCAGGATTATTATTGGGATCAGGTATTATCGATTTGGTAGTGATCATAAGATTCTAAGGATACCTGACTAAGACAAATCACAGATAATTATTTTGAAGTCATTTGATTTATTAGATCCAATTCCACAACCTAAAAAATAGTACCAAAACGCAATCCTCAGCCGAGGTCCAGGAATGTTAGTGTCGGTCTTTTTTTTATTCCGGCATTACAATCATACAAAAATACCATTTTTGGGAATGTCGATAGCCTTTAAAGAGTGAAACAACTCTATTGTCAGCTTAAGATTTATTTGTCTTTCATCTCATTACTCCCAATAGGCTGTTCCTACTACATATTAACGACTCACAGGAATAAAACTCAAGGTAGACATAACAGATCAGGTCGATCATTGCAACAAGCAAGCATAACACTATTGAAAAAGGAACACCTATGGTCAACAACTGGACTGGATTATGCGTCAGACTGTGTGCTGAGAGTGGGAAGACAGGAATACGTTGGACGACCTATAAGAAGACTCCAGGATGTCTGGATTTCGGGGATGATTCATGTTGTGGTGCGAGCTGTCTGCTAGCCAAAATTGGTAGACAGCAATTTACGTCAATTTTTACGTCCCAAATCTTGGTCATGAGAAAAAAACAAGAACAAAGACTAACTCAACAACCGATCACAGCAAACTTAGCGTGGACGGATACGATTAGCAGATATATCGCCGGACTGTCTAAGAAACGGCGACAAAGAGATGACAGAATAACCTTCAGCAAGAAAACAACCAATCAGAAGACGTTACCCCTCTGCTAACAATAACGAATAATGATGTACATAAAAATCTATAAATATCTGTTGATTTTCTCAATAAACGATCTGTTGCCTGGCCCTTGTCTTCTGTCGTTACAGTGTCTCATGTCACACAAACTCGAAGACTTGCTAACGAAAACCAAAAACCTGACTGAAGAGGCCAGCAGAGAAGACATGACTTTAGGTGAACATAGAGAAGACGGAAGTGATGAAGATAACCAACCACCACCACCAGCAACAACAGCAACCAACACCAATCACCATCGACAGGAGAGATTTGACAGAGACTTCAACCACAGGCAGTCGGCATGTATGAAGATGTCAAAGCCTGCAAGAATCAGGAAGGCAAGATATACCTTCACCAACCTGAAATCAGTTTGGAAATCTTCTGCACTAACTCAGCCAGTATAAAGAACAGGATTTGGATTTCCAGTACAAATGTGAAGTCAGTCAGTTCTATATGGGTCAGAAACTCGCACTGCATGTCATGAAAAGGATTTCCAACAGGCTGCTGTAGACTTTTATCAACAGCTGACCTTGCTGACTCCATACTGAAGGTCAAATAGCCAGTTGGCCAGAAAGAATTAGCAAGAAGAAAGTCTAGGAACGAACCAACCAAGAGCCAACTGTTCAACAAATATTCCAAAGAAAATGGAGAGGAATTGGCTACAGGCTGAGAAGACGGTCGAATGACATTGCACGTCAGGTCCTCACTTCAAGGGTTACATTCAGGAGATCGTGTGAGGAGATGAAAGACTATGGACAATCGTGAAGCCAACTAAATAGGACTGCAGAGAATAGAACCAAGTGGATATGTGCTGTTGAAGCCCTACGCTCCAATGTCAGCGACACTGAAACTACAGCACACTGTTCACCAAAACAGCACTTCCACGCATAGGTGTGAATAGGTGGATTATATAAATTAAATGAATACCTTACCCACAAGCTATCCATTGAGAATTAGGTGAGGCGGCAATAGATAAGCCATTTGTACTAGCTTGATCAAACCAGTGATGAATAATTCTAGCTTTATTACTGCGCAGATCAAAGACATACACGGAACCTTCAGCTAAAATTCAAAATAAAGCAAAAACAATCAAACTCTTCAAGGTAAATCGAAATTGTGATACGAAAAAAAGGATGATTCATAGGTAAAATCTAAGTACAAGATTGTCTACCTAGAACGTTTCATCACAAAATCCATATGAAGGCTAAACCATTAAAACCTCTCACACTTTTGCTCCAAAAAGGATTTCTCTACTAGAATCTACAATTCAGCGGAGACTCATCAGCAGACATACTGAGAAATCGCCTGTCCAGCTTTCACTGGTGATAATAGGCAACCTTCTCAGGCACAAAATAAAACTGTTTAATGTATAATTATAGGCCAAGTGAATAAATACACACTACATGAACCCAGGAGTACTTCCATGAGAATACTATATCATGCCATTACTACTCTGTAATTAAAAATGAAGAAACACCAAAAACCAGCCCCATTTTAAAGACGACAAATATTTACTTTTATTTAATTCAATTTTAAAATTTCCTGTCAACTGATTGAACCAAAGTGCTCGGTATCAGGCTGAAATGTCAGGTCCTTGTACAGATTCTCTGACGATGTCTGGTCATGTAATTTCAAGTCAATTGGTGGATGGTGACTAACAGTGGAGTCCAGGATGCGCATTTCGTTCCATTTGGGACTCGTCGGTCAGCTGGATGTACCTGCATTCCCCAGTGAATTAAGTAATTAATAATACCCGCTGCACAAGAGGTGGCTCTCATCGCCCAAGTGGTCTATTGGATATCACTTTGGCATTTGGAATTATGGGCACTGGGTTCGAGACTCGGTGAGAACACCGTCACTCACTGGGGAATGCACATCCTGGATTCCACCACTAGTCACCATCCACCAATTGACTTTAAATACTAACTTTGCTTAAATAGTGTTCTTCGTTCCGTTAAGTTTACTAACCAATATGAGATTCACACGTTGTCAGACGAAAACTTAGCATGAACTATAAAAAAAAGTTGTAACATATTTGAATTATTATTATGTTCATATAAAATAAGATGAAGTATCACGTGACAATGTTCAATAAATCTATTTTACTACTAATTTACCTCCATAAGTATGTAGAAATGTTCCCTCTTGAGCGAAACAAAGTGAATTGATCATACCGCTACCGCGCATGAATGCGACCTTTTCCAAACTCTATGAGGATAAAAGGATATAAAAGCAATATACAGGAGATTTAACCAATTATAGGGTAAGAACTAAGAGGAAAGAAAACATACACAAGTTAAACGCTAACTCATAAATTATTGTAAATTACTGTTCGCTCTGTTAACTTCAGAAAGTCGAATTTTTAATGACAATTTAAACTTTAAACTCTAGATAAAATATTAGTTAAGTTAGTGAATAATAAACATACACAATAAACCTAGGAGTACCGGAGAGGATTAGAGAGGTTTCGTGTGCACTTCGGATTGTGAGGGCGATTGTTACTTCCCGGTTGCCCACACCGTGGAAGTTGGTTGCGTGACCGCAGAGCACAGGGGACAACTGCTTGAGGCCGGTCACACACGGCCTGTTTTTGTTTGTCCTTTTTTATTTGGTGTGTCTCAGTAGCGTATTTATCACTTCTGCCTTGTGACACGGCAGCAGGAAGCGCGGTCGTTGTTAATCCGGGCCCCGACCGATCCGGCATGATATTTTGTGTTTTTGTTTGAGTCATGGCATTGGATTGGGTAGCTGCTTTTTGTCTAACCGCTATCCAAACAACCTTTCTGGCATGGTAGGACCTACAGGAACTTAAGTTCCAGCCAGTGTAGCTCGTTGGGTCATTGTGATATGCAAGCCCGACCACCACGTCAAGGTAGCAGCTTTCGGTCGGCAATATTCAGGTTAGGCGTCGAGTGCTAGATAAGGCGGGGAAATCAATCGACGAAACTGTGAAATTACATCGACTGAGATGGTTGGGACATGTGTTACGTATGCCTAGTCATCGCCTTCCTCGACGGGCAATGTTAGCTGATATAGGACCAGGCTGGAAAAGAGCTAGCGGCGGTCAAACCAAAACATGGCACCAGTCAATGAAATCCACAACAGTTAGTCTAAGCCACGTAGGAAGATGTAGACTTCCTGGTTGGGGTCCTCGGAACGGTAAAAACGAATGGTTGGAAACAATTGGTGACATGGCTCAAAATCGTTCTCAATGGCGCAGATGCATCCACTCCTTGTGACTTATGATTTCCAATTAAACTGTTTTGTTCTCCGTTATTACTATTCCTTTGTCTCACACCTCTGTTTACTGTCTCTATTATGCAGTTCTTCTACTTTCTTCTCTTGCTTTGTGTGCTACATGGAGTGTGGCGACTTGAACTGCCGCACATATGTGCAAAGTTCTATGTCGAAAACCGCCCGACCGAGGAGTACCGGACATATGTTTCGTCTTAGTTCGGGACTCTTCATCAGGATGCATCCACTGGAGTTCGATGATGATGATGATGAAATCCTGAAGCTAACCGAATCCCTGCAAACCAACGCTTGAATATTAATCGGATACTCATTAGTGACTAGCCCTATTCAAGCAGGTAGTTACCTGGGTTCTAGTGAGAATTCGTGTCCAGTAGGATACAGTAGGTCGGGTATGAAGGCAAATACTCGCCACAGTTGACATTGGTTAGTGGTCGCACTATATCGTGGATTGATTTGGTCGGGTCCCAGTGACTGGATGGTCTACGAGCTCTCCTTGTAACAGGAAGGTCGTGGGTTCGAACCCTAGCAGCGGGTGCGTACTGGTGGTGAGTCCCAAACAAGGATGAAACAGCTGTCCAGTACTCCCAGCTGGTTTCCCAATGGTTTTCTAACGGATGTCTGTTCATGATCTAATCCTGAAACCAATTAAATCCCTGCAAACCAACACTTAAATACATCATAAAACTAGCAAACTGACATATAACCGTCTACAAGATTTCTACTCGCATAAATGTACTTTTAGGTAATAATGGAGAAGATTTGTAACTCAGGTGGATGATTCTGGTGTAGTTGTGTTATTCAGAGCACTGAGGATGTTGTCTAGGAAGATCATGAAAGCTTTGCAACTAAAGCATCAAGTTTTCAGAACACAAATACAACAATGACAATACTTTCAAGTCGACAGATTGAATTGTTTTGCATTGCGATTGAAGAATATCTAATGAATTTTTGAACAAGCAAGAGTATTCAACCTCAAAAATTGTGTGATGTGTGCAGATATTTTAAATCAGTAAGCAGTTGAAATGCGTTTGGACACGGAGAATCAATGTGTTTTTCCTAAAGCAGCATCATTACGTTTCTCTTTCCACACACTCATTGAGTGCCTCTTTGAAGCGTGACAATGTGAAGTGAAACACTTTTGTGTAAGTCAACTTCTCCGACTCGACCGAAAGTCATATAAAGTCAAGTCACCGGAAACACCAATTGAGTCATGAAGAAAATGAAAGACAATTCAGCGAAGAAAATTTCCTTTATCGACGAAATCATCTTCAGAGGCTGTACTGTACAGTCGTATTTGCATTTAACAAAAATGTATATTAGTCCATTACTGAGTAATAAGGGAGGAGTGACATAATTGATATAATTACTTAGAAGCGTCTTTAAAAATAAAAATGAAAGTTATAAATTACGCAATGCTCACAGGAAGGCACAGAGGAAGAAAGCGTTATAAATTTGATAAGGCTAAAATTGTTGGTGAGTGAGAAGAAAGGCAGTTGAGTGTCCATTTGAAAAGTGTGAAGAGGGTGAAAAAACGTACAAAAGGAACGTGTGAGAGTGATAATAGTAAAAGCAAAGCAACCATTAAAAATAGAAGTTTACAGGAAACGACTAGTGAAGAGGTTAAGACCATGGTGGAGTGAGAGACTGGACAAACGCTTTCTGTATACGGAGTTCAGGGTTGTATTGACGAATTCTTAACGCCTCCGCCACACACAAATGCCGATACCTGACGCCCTTTGTACCATTTGGCCTAACCTTGTAGATAATCTTGAAAGACAATTCTGGTGGAGCTGTGTGTCCTGAGTTAAACAGTGGAAAACCGGTAAGTAGTAACTGAGACTGTAGTTAGTTTATTTTGTAAGTAATTCATTTACATATTATCACTTTTCAACCAACCTTATATATCGTAACAAATGTATTGATTTCTCTCTAAAATCACTGATTTCAAGGCTCCAGAACAGAACTGAGTACAGAAGTGCAGCAGTTCCAGTTCCTACACTCCATGTAGCAAACAAAGAAGGCCGAAAGAGAGAAAAAAGACATTCAAAAGAACGACAACAAGCAGAAATATGGGGGGAGGAAGAATAGTACCACGGAAAAACAGCAGGATTCTTTTGGATATGGCAGATCACAGAGTGAATTCTTCTGCGACACTGAGAACGATTTTCAGCCACATCACCAACCGTCTCCAGCCATTGGGTTTTAGCATCCCGAGGACCCCCCCCCTCCGAACCAGATAGTCTACACTTCTCTACATGGATATTCTTTCTAAAGTGAGTATCCATAATCTAGATAAACTGAATAGGCTACATTATGATAACCACAAAACATGCTACTTTTAATTAACAACTTACCCGTAAATCAGCTAAGTATACTGTACTACCATTTGTTCCAAGAGCAGCAAAATTTGGAGAAGCCAGTGAAACTGCACACTTATTGATTACTTCATCATAAGGCATACCAATGAACCGCCTTGCACGACTTTCACTCCCAGTTTCTAAATTGTACATCTATAAAATACACAAATAATGAATTAAAAGAGCATAAAACAAGGAAAATACAAATGAAAACTAAATATGGCAAAGAACAGTCTCCTGTAAGCCAATAGATGTGATTAAGAAACATGTTAGGAATCATTACTTTAGCCTGATTAAATAATCATGTAATAGTAACTAGTTGACCTAAATAAGTCACGGGGATCGCCTGTTTTGACCAGAACTGGACTTTGCACAGATGTACAGCAGTTCGAGTTCCCACTCTCCTTCCATGTAGCCCACAGAGCAAGAGAAGAGAGTAGAGAGAAATTCCAAAGAGACATAATAAACAGAAATGAATGAGAGAAAAAGAATAGTAATATGGAAAAACAATACAATTTTATTGTATATTATAAATCACAAAGGGTGAATGCATCTACACCAGCCATTGAGAACGATGAGTTTGAGCCATATCACCAATTTTCTCCAGCCATTGGTTCTTACCATCCCGAGGAACCTAACAAGGAAGCCAGTCTACGCATCCCTATGTAGCCAGTTGAAACTAACTGTTATGGATTTCATTGACTGATGAAGCCATGTTATGGTTTGACCACCACTAGCTCTCTCTTTTCCAACCTGATTTGTCCTGTGTCAGGTAACATTGACCTTTGAGGAAGGCGATGGCTAGGCATGCACGCATAACACATGTCCTAATCATTTCAATATACGTAACTTCATAGTCTCGTAGATTGATTTTTCCTTCTTACCTAGCACACGACGCCTAACCTCAATATTGCTCACCTTATAATACCACTTAACACGGGAGATGGAACGTAGAATAACTCCATAGTACATTGCGTAGCCTCGTACATCAAAAACAATTCTGTATCTATTATTATTATTAATACCATTTACTTCATTTCTTGTTAAAACCAGCCCACAAGTCACCCTAGTTACCGCATATTGAAAGAGTATATAGTTAAATATTGTTGTAGAGAACTATGTTGGAAAAGCTGTAAAGACCCTCACTGCGTTCCGCATTCATGAATTCAAAAAGATTAACACTGGTAATTAACTAAGATAACCTCAGTTCTCTAGATTGATAACAGTGAAAATGGAGTGAAAACCCGGATTCCAACCGGACTCAAACCAAAGACCACTCAGCTACTACAAACCACTGTACCATACCTGAAAACCGATGCAACCTCAGCCTCTGACTCAACCTCAGTTATTAATTTAATATTACATATATAAATATATAGGAAACTGTAATGGGAAATGTTTCTAAACGCGTGAGTAAACAATAATTATAAGAACTCATCAACACGAAAAAATATGATGCATGGAATTTTCAAACTTAGTTCAACTATAGACACCTTTACTTTATCAAATAACACATGGAAGCAGAAGGAAGTATGAGCTAGTGAAAATAAATTTGGGGAGAAAAGAGCAATAAGCTCAGAAAATGCATCTTTGAGGAGATTCCTCGGCTCCTTGTTCTTTTCTCTCTAATGCTCTGATGGGTAATTTTCACGACTAAAAGATGAATTATTGTGCCACCTTCTAAGACTAAACCAGTTTGTACTGAAAGCTTAAGGAATCGGAAGTCCCAGGACCAAAAATAACTGAAATATTCACAAACGGCCACTATTCTTCAGCTAAACACCATACATTCACATACAAAAATAAACAATTTAAGATCTCTGCATAATAAAATGTGAAGTGCACTGTTTAACATAGATCCGTTAAAATTACTCACTCGGAAAGAACCGGTATTTCCAGTGAAAATAACCTTGTCACCACATGCTGTAAATTTAGCTGAGGAAATTGAGAAATTTTCATATACACGGTCTCTTAAAAGTGCATTTTCAAGACCATCAACCTATAATGAGATAAAATATAATACAACTAGCAGTTAAAAATTTTATCATTGTCCATACATAATAATAACTTCCAATGAGGCTTTGCTAAACCGACTAGATAACTGATCCCAACCAATATGACCAGGTTTAAATACACATGCGCATACACTTAAGCGACTCACACATAAGAGAAGGTATTATCAATGATGAAAACGGGAAACATACGTCGAAATAATTGAGAAATACCCACTTGGTGAACTGCAGAATTACAATCTACAGTCTATTTCATAATATTACAAATGAACGGATGTCAAAAGCTTTTCTGCAGTGGCAGAGACAATTGCTTTGCTGTTAATCAAACTATATAAACACGTATACCTAATTTAACCATATTTATTTACATTTACTGAATTTCCTCCATATTGGTGCGAAGTATAGTCCCTCGAATAAATGTATCAGGATGGTATATATTTCCTTCGTGACTGAATGGGTGTTTTCGGTGATTTTTAAATGACTTTATACCCTATAGCTGCATGACTACTTCCATATATCACTACATACAAATGAAGTCAGTACAAACTTATGATGTAAGGGATGCCTAGCACAAATTTAGTGCTGGATAGAATGAAACCCGAACCCAATACTTATTGACCGGGAGTGCTTACTAAATTGAGAAGCAACCATTTCATTACTCAAATCTAACCCCAAGTCAATTTCAGAGGATGGGTCCTCATAACGAGACCAGTAGTAGTGTCCAAAAACGCATCTAACTGCAAGACTGAATACTGCATCACGTGATACTCCCTGCTACAGGAATATTTCCACTGAGGGTACCAAATTACATAGTTTAGGTCAGCGTCAATTATAAAGTGACCTTTTACTGCAACAGAGTTAACGCTGATCCTCTACCTTAATAGATAGAATAAGCAGATCAGTCTAAAAACAACTAAATTTAAAGAAAAACGGAACAATCCCCGTCAGAATTAGATTGTACGCATTAACAATCTTTCATTGACGAAGCATACTGTCCACATACTCAAGAATGAGATTTCCTGTAATTATTTCTACAACAGAAAAATTTCCACCTGAACTGATGTATTGGGTAACTGATAGTTTTGTTCGATGTGGTCCTGTAGTTTAACTTCCCTATGGCACCTGAACCAGATTGTTTTCCTGTGATACGAAAAATACCTTCTACTTATTATTAATATAGATTCTTAACAACAAAACACAATTAAAATCCCACTTTAAAGAATCTACTGGGAATTTTCCGAATAACTTTCGATTTGATAAGATTGCATATGAATAAATTAGCATTTAAAAACACCAAGTCCACCATACTATACTCAATAAAAACGAACTTTAGGAATTACACTTTACGCTTAAATACCTTGAAAAATGCCATAGTGCTATCGACGCTTGCGGTCAAAAGCATGCGATAATGTGCATTGAATTCTGTTGCTACGAGAGAAGCCATGGATCTCCTCTCACGGTTGGCATCATAAAGTCTTCTCACTCCAATTTCCTTTCCGTAAGGTAATGAACTGACTTCTTCTAGGTTGAAAGCAGCAGATTTTCGAGCTACAACACAGCTATCATCGTCCGAGGCATCATCTAAGCATTCCTTATTCACTTTGCTCGCAAATATATCTAGTGCTCGTGGAGGTCTAAAGATAAAAACAATAACTAACATACCGAGCTAATGTATTCGACAAAGTGTCCTCATCATCATCACTCCACGCAGCTTTTAAAGTCTGTTTTTGAGAATCAGGTTTCTCAACAACTTCAATTTTCCGCGACTTTTGACTTTTCTTTCCAACTTTTCGCCTCTTGTACTGAAAAAAATAAGAAAAAATACTGCCTACGGAAAGTTCAGGGGCACTGGTAACTATTTGGAATTCATCGGTAGGATTAGCAATACTAAACTTTAGCATTATACAACCACGCGCTAAAATCCGAAGCAGGCGCTGTTTATCTCAAGGACGAGAAGACTGAAATATTTTTCCGATCTTCGAATTCCTTGAATTAAACGTCATGCGCCGAAATTTTTCTGTGAAAAATGCTCAAAAACATTTACAGGACCTACATGATGTCTTTGCAAAGTTAAAATGCTTGGTTTTATGCTCCTGAATGACTTGAGAAAGCTCCATCAATATATCATGGCTAACAGCTGAAATCAATGATACTGAAGTTAACCTACGAGACCTTGCCGTGTGTAACACAGGCGGGTTAACTCATTGAGGTGGCGCATTTGCCATCTTCCCGAAAAGGAATTTAGCTTTGCGTAGCTAGGCACCACCTGCACACAAAATTCGATCATTCAAACTTATACACTTCCCCTGTAACGTAAGAAACAGAATAGTAATGCCATCGGAATGCGTCGCACCCCCACATGCACACAGAAAAAACTTTTCTTCTGTGTCGGAAATTAGGCTTATGGATATCAAAGTGTCAATGCCTTACAACCGGTGATTTCTAGCCCCCCTTACACTGGAAACAAAACTGTTACAGTAATTTGTCATTTGCGAGTGAATTCCAAATTCATCTAGCTCAGAGTGCAATGGAAGTACCAAAGAAATAATTTGATGACATGAATTTCAGGAACAAGACTACGCAGCAAGTCCCAGCCTTACTAGTGACACAGACGAAATAGAGGAGAGCCAGTAAAATGAGGAGTTACAGGCAGATAACCTCTCCAGAATCTTCACACACTAGTCTCAACCAGCTTTGACACGACTGATGTCTGGTGGATTCCGTTTACACCGACCGAAAAGTAGAGTCTTGATCCGTAAGCGAAACATACATGGAAATCGACAAGGCGTGGTAATCGTCATCCAGGACTTCTCAAGGACCCAGGGGCTCACTTGGTCGGTAAATCAACTATCACCTTCGAGATATTCCAGTTACATGGAGCTTTGCCACGTGTCTGAAAGTATGAAGCTTTTAACCCTACCCGTGAGCGAGAATGCAGACAGTGTCCTTCAAACTACAGACCTAAAAGTCTAAACAGTGCCTCAGTCAATATCCTGAGAAGAATATTCGGGGCAAGATATTGTAGCATATTCGGAAAATAATAACATGTCGCTCAATGCACTGCACAGTTTTTGTGGTAATCTTCTGTATCCGACAAACTTAACAGCAGTGGAAAACTGGGCCCACTTCAGGAATAACAGGAATCCAATCGACGTTTTCATAGGTTTTGACAAGCTGTCATATGCAAGACTGCTGGTGAAGTTGAAAAACTTTGAAATCATCAGAGACCTGCTCAGTGGGACCAAGAAGTTCCTACTGAGATGGAGACAAACAGTCTGGGCTAACTCTAAACTATTTTTCTGAAAACTGTACGATCATGAGCCTCAGGTGCGCAAGTGTCATCATGTATAAGCTGAGTATCTCTCCCTTAAGTTTAGAGCACAAGGATAAATGTATCACAACAAGTCGTGACCTAAAACCCAAGGCACGTGGTTACCCAGTCACTTCATATCTTCCGATCGATACATCTGGCCTTCATTGAGATCACCTGCGACGTTTATGACTTTATATACATAAGTGATTAAGTCAAAATAGCGAAATCCATTTGTGCAGACAGTGCTTCCTGAAGAGTGAGCTTATATATCCTGGAGAGAGTTCAAAAGAAGGCCACACCTATGATTCTTAGCATGACCGAGAGAATACACAACAGCCTAGGCCTCTTCTCTCTGTCATTTCACAGCCAGTGTCTTAATTTCTAAGAAATATCTACACACCTGATCTATTTACTCTTTTTCTTCCCACCTGGTCACAGCAAAAGAGTTCAGAAGCCAGAGGCGAACTTTATTGCTGAGATGTTCTGGTTCTCGCCTCGAGTAGTTAACCTTCAGAGGCAAATCTTAGAAGAGGTAATGTCTGCGCTCTCAGTCAACTTGTTCTTGAGAGGATTAGACAAGCACGAATACTTATCAGGAAAAGATCAACCAGCAACAAAATTCTGAGTCTGGAGCACGTTCCTCATATTTTGCCTTTGTTATTAAGGGCTAAGCGATGGATCCTTCACATTAATTCCTTGCTGAGAAATGTATATATGGTTTTTTCATTATTATTTTTAGTCAACCAACTAACAGAAAACACACCTGGTTTCTCAAGATAGCTTCCTCAATTTAATAACTTGATAAAAGAACCAGACTTCCACGATTACGAATTTCGTTCTCAACTACTGAACTTCTCAATAATTACAGCCAAGATGGTTTAACCCAAAGGGAGGATAAGAAGTATTAGATGTCAGTTGAGACGCTTTAAAGTTTTGAATACTTTGAAAAGTTCAGTTCGACTTCAATCATATCATGAGTATATATTGGTTTGCCTTTTTAATTCCACCCTCATTTGTCAAACGCCCGTATATGACTGGCATTAAAATGATTCTAGGGGCTGCTTAATGCTGCACACAAATACTGTCTGCCTCTACGCAAATTCCAGCGTAAGTAATAGTAGTCTAAATGATCGACTTAACTACACGGTGAGTCTTAAATGTTAACGAATCCTGTCTTACTGTTCTATAACTATAATCCTGTGTAGTGAAATTTTTCTGCACCATATATTTTAAATTGCTACTTTTTACTTATGTATAGAGCTGCACCATTATGCAGTTTTTTCGTATTTTCATTTATTTATATCTAAAAGGTGGACAATGACCGTCCAACATCTTTACAATTTTATTACTTTTCTTCAAAATGCCGTAACAGATGAGACATACACAATGGTCCTCCAGAAGTAGTCTTTCGAGCCATGACTCTAAATGAGTTGACAAACGAATGTTAAAAAGTCTGCGTGGCATTTAATAATAGAAATTAAAAAAGAATCATTTCGCCAGGGCCTTGCGCATTAAAAGGTAGAGGGTGGTAATTATTATTCAGCGGATATGATGGTGGGGACATACGAGAACCACCCATATCAGTGAAACAGCACTTTATAATATACAATGATCCCCAGGTTATAAGTGAACTCCTCAGTGAGTGGTTTTGCAATGACACCATAGTGCACCTGACCCCAAATTTCCAGATAACCTGCAAAAGTAACCACAAATTAGGCGAAATAGACTTTAATATACAAAATATAGACTCAGCGACTAAGACTTTGAAGTCTAATGGTAGTACTGGAACAGACGACATACCATCTGTCACATACAAAAGTGGTAGCACGGAAATGGTAGTCTCGTTACTTAGAATATTTACTCTCTCGTTGGAAACTGGAACTTATCCTGAAGTGCGGAAAACCACATACATATTACCTAAGCACAAAGCAGGGGCCAAAACAAGTGTATGCAACTATCGACCTATCAATATAACACCGGTAATATCCCGAATAATGGAGAAAGTGGTTAAAGACCAAGTGTCAGACAAATTACTTGAACATGAACTTATCAATCCATCACAACACGGATTTCTCAAAAAGAGATCATGTGTGACCTGTCACATAGACTTTTCAACGAAGTAGAGACAACAGAGAACTAGTAAGTGTGCTATAATTCAATATAACAAAAGCCTTCGACAGAGTTCCCCATAATCTGCTCACTAGGGATATGTGACCCTCTCCTGAGCCGGACAAAATCATTTCTCTGCGGCTGAAGTCAGACAACGAAAGTTGGCTCGATAATCTCAAGGCCTAAACCAGTAAGTAGTGGTGTAATCCGGGGAAGTGTATTAGGCCCACTCTTATTCATAATATATATAAACAGTATCTGTGAATGCTTTGGTGTAGGTAAACAAATACTATGTGCAGATGACTTAAAAGTGACCTATAAATGCAAGAACACAGATCTTGGAATAACAGTAAACGCCATACAGCAAGAATTAGAAAAAATGGATAGATGGTGTGACACCTGGCAACTCCAATTTAACGTCGAAAAATGTGGCTGGCTCTGCATAGATTGTAACAGTTTAGAACTTGACCTGACAATTCAAGGCCATGCACTTCTACGACCGGAATCTGTACTGGACCTAGGGCTGAAATATTCACATGACTTATCATTTTCTGAACATATCACCAAACAAGTGTCAAAGTCACGCAGACTCATCGGCTTTCTACTCAGGAACTTCTACAGAAATGAGTCTAGAATTCCGTTGTACAAGGTTCGTGTGGGTCCTTTATTTGATTACTGTTCATTCATGTATAGTAGCATACGCATAGAGGACAAATTGAAAGTCGAGGGAGTGCAGAGGTACTTCACGTTAAAATTACTTGGAACCGATAACTGTGCGAACTACTCCACTAGATGTGATACCCTAGGACTAGAAGCACTATGGCTAAGACGCCTGAGACTAAACTTGACACTTTACTATAAGCTTCTAAACCACTTAGTTTATACCTCTACTAATGGCACTCGACTTTCAGATGACAATGGCTACAAACTAAGACACACTAAGGGTACAGTAGCTATCGAACAATGTAAAACAGCCACCAGGCAAAAGTCTTACTGATTAAGAATGCACAGATATGGAACAAACTACCAATGGAAATGCGTCAAGCAAGTACATTGGCCTCCTTCAAAAAGGTGCTTAATGACAAGCTACAAGAGTTTGCAAACGATGGTAGTTCTAGTTCCTATCTGAGAGCCTCCGAAATTATAGGTCCATTTAATGTATAAGCTTAAATACTACACCTCTTGTTTTTTGCCTATATTTATGATTCTAGATAAAACATTAACGGTTAAGATACGTATCCTCAAACAGACAAGAAATCTCGTTTGTAAAACTACTAGCCAACACAATAAAGTGGGATAAAATGGACA